ACACACACACACACACACACACACACACACACACACACACACACACACACACACACACACACACACACACACACACACACACACACACACACTTTCTCATGTGTCTGGGGTCACATTCTCTGTCTTCTTACTGTGTTAAATTACACAATAAAGTCACCAGTAAATCAGTTTTCCTCGTGCAGTTGTTAGCATGTCCCAACTCAACAGATAGTTTTGCATGTTTTTCAGTTTTGTTTTGCGTAATCGTTCCACCTTTCGATGCCAAAACAGTTCCCAAAGCGACTTCATTTCAGTTCTACTCAAGAAGAAATTCCAAAGTTGATCCAAGGTTTCATTTATTCTGCAACCACAGTTACAGTAGTCTGAGTCAGACGAACCATGAGGGTAACTTTGAAAAATACAGCCTCTTTAATGCCAAGTTCCCACTGTATGTTTTCGCCAATTCAGTAAGGAAGCTCAGTTTCCATCCATCAGTTTTTATGTGCATTTGCAATTGAAAATATGAGTGGATTTCAAAAAACACTTGAAACGCACTTGCCTGAGAAGTAAAAGATGGTATATAACGATACATATATAAAGGAAACAATTGTAACCTAAACTTAGCCAATAAATCCTTTACGTAGATGAAGCAAATTAGTTTCATGCCCACTCTTTGGAACAAGGAAATAAAAGTGACGTTTTCAATACGTGCCTCTCTCCTTTCAATCGAGAAAGCCTAGTTTCAGCTGAACTTAGAAAGCTATTTTTTGTTACAGTGTAGGAGTAAGGGACATTTTGTTTTTTAAAATAACACATCTTCTGGTTATATTTTAAGAACTATGACTAACAGCTCAGCGAGTGACTCACAAATTGAAAAAACATGCTCAATCAATGCAGTGACAACATGAACACTAGTCTGCTCGGCTGTTTCTGGGTTTGGGTTACAGCTTTTTAGGAACCTTGAGCTGTGCATACTGTAAGCTCAAACTCTGACCCTCTCCACAGGGCAAATTCCTTCATCTCCAGCCCACCAGCCAATTTAAACGTGTACCCACATAAGAAAATGGGGCTATATTACAGAAAGTCTCCAGCCAGATGTGCACATACCTGCTCTCCTGTCAAGTTGACCAGAGACTTCAGGTCCTTTCCATTCAATATGGACACCTAGTGCGACGGAAAACATAGATTATTAAGGTATACTGCATGTTTATACTTTAAAATGTGTTTTTTTCTGTTAAATATCGAGATTCCTTACTACACCATAGAGCATGAGTCCTTTAGGAACTCCTGTGATGAAATCTGCATCAAGGAAAGCAAAGGTTAAGAGTAGGGGTGCACCGAATGGGAAATTATTGGCCGAAACCGATACCGAAAATAGGAAACAGTTGGCCGAAAACCGAATGCCGAAAGGCCGAAAATGATTAATAGATTACATACATTTTTTACCAATGTTGTTCAGCTACCTGATTATGGAAAAAGACATGATTATGGCAAAACTTAACTTAAATAATAATCACTATTATGGGTCCATAAAACATTTATTCAGCA